AACCACCATTTGACCCAGTTATTCCACTCCTTGGTATAAACCAAAGGATTTAAAATCAGCATACTCTAGTGACACGACCACATCAATATCAATAGCAGCACAATTCATAATAGCCAAGCTATGAGGCAACCTAGGTGCCCTTCAATAGATGAATATAAAGAAAATGTGGTATGTATACACAAGGAATATTACTCAGCCAAAAAAAAAGAATGATTTTATGACCTTTGCTGGTAAATGGATGGAATGGGAGACTGTCATGCTAAGTGAAATAAGCTATTACCAATTAACCAAAGGCTGAACGTTCTGATATGTGGATGCTAACACATAATAAGGGCAGGGTGCGGGGAGGAGGGAAGAATAAAAGTTCACTGGATTAGACAAAGGGGAATGAATGGAAGGGAGGAGGGATGGGATTAGAATAAATCAGATATAACTTTCCTATGTTCATATATGAATACATTACCGGTGTAACTCCTCATCATGTACAACCACAAAAACAGGAAGCTTTACTTCATACATGTATGATATGTCAAAAATGCATTCTACTGTCATGTAACTAAAAAGAATAGATTAAAAAATGTTTTAAAAGGCCATTATTTGTCATTTTGTTGGTATATATGCATCGGTGTCTCTGTTTAAGTACTGCATCCATGGATTCAACCAATCTCAAACTCATAAACTTTTCAGCATGATCTAAATACTTCTGGGTTGTTTTATCATTCCTGGGGAGGCCTTACATCTAGGAGTTGAGTGGTGCTGGAGTCTGGACTGGTGCTTGCTTGTCTGGTGGATAGCTCTCATCCAACAGCCTTCCTTTGCCACCATCCTGGCAATTTCATTTCACTTTACTCAGTTGGGTCCTGTTTAATCTTTGGATTATTCACTCCTAACTATCCATTCTCTAAAAGAGGAAACTTTTTTTTTGAGGTCTTCTAAGAATATTTAATTTTATCCTAAACTTATAGAATGGAATTATTTTCTCTTAGAATTGCGAAGGTATGGTTTCATTGTCTTCCAGTATCCACTGTTGCTGCTAAGTCTTGAGTTATCTCATTCCTGTTTCTTTGTATGTGACGTGTTTTCTTTCTGGAATTTGTAAGGTCTGTATTCTTGGTATGCATTCATGGTAAAAGTGACTTAGTGTGGGCTTTTTCTTTTCCTTTTTTAAAAATATCTTTATTTATTTTTATGTGGTGCTGAGAATCGAACCCAGTGCCTCACTAGTGGGAGGTGGGCACTCTACCAATGAGCTACTGCCCCAGCCCAGTGTGGGTTTTTTCTTCATTCTGGTAAATTTGTATCCTCAAAGAGATAAGATGTTGCAACTGAAAATAACAGAATGATATTAAAAAGCAACATTCAGAAATAAAAAAAGATCTGGAAATTAGAACTATAAGAATAAAAATGAAAGATTCAGTAGGGGAGGAGTTAGAATATAAATTGGAGAAAAATTTCCCAGCAGGTTGAATAAACATACAGAATAGAAACCAGGAAGGAGGGAGGGAGTAAAGGAGAAAGGGGAAGGAATGAAGGAGAGAGAGGAGAGAGAAACATAGAGTGTGGGGGAGTGAGGATGGGAGGAGCTAGAGTAAGGAATTTGAAGGAACAGGGAGGGCACACAACAGAAAAAGGATCAATTCAGGAGAATTTTAGCATGTTAATAGTAGGTGTTAAAGAACAGAAAATGAAAAGAAAGAAATTAAATTTTTTTTTTTTTTTAGTTGTAGGTGGACTTATTTTTTATACGTGGTTCTGAAGATCGTACCCAGGGCCTCACATGTGCTAGGCTGGCGCTCTACGGCTGAGCCACAACCCTATCCCCGAAAAGAAAGAAATTTGAAAAGGACATTATTTTGTCTTTGCTGCTTTAGGATTTTCTCAAATGTGTGATGGTCTTTGGGTGTCTGTATTTAAGAGTGGGAACTTGGTAAGAGGGCAGGTCTTATGTATTGGTGTGGATCATAGTGATTGGGTACGTTTACTAACTATTTTGTTGACAACTCCTAAATATTTGTCTTTGCAGAAGTTTATTCTTGGGCTGTCATTTTCCCCAGAGATTTCTTTGATCTTCCAGTAGAATGAGAGGGCTAAGGAGTCCCACCTCAGCATGTGTAGTTTTTTTGTTTTTTGTTTTGTTTTGTTTTGTTTTTAACCAGCTGGGCAGGTTCTTGTACTCCCCATCAGAAGACTCAGATAAAGGCACAGCTACAGCAGAAATCAGACTCTTCATTGGGATGTTTTGTTCCAGTGAGAGACACAGCACTGACCAAGAGAGTGTCAAGCTGACTTTCCAGACAAGAGAAGAGAGCCAGTCTTATTCTCATGGAATGGGTGGGTTTGAGTTTAGGAATATTAATTGCCTTTAGATGAATTTTAGAAGGTGTTTTTCTTTTCCTTGGTGAGCACTTTAACCTTGAGGAAGGGATAGTCAGCCAGTCATCCAGGTGCCAAATGTTATCTGTCACACTAATTCTATGCCCTACATAAACATCTTTGCCCTGTGATAGGGATGAGTTGCTGTAGCTGTTAAAAGTGCACATAGGTGGGAAATGGAAAAGAACACAAATCATGACAAGTAACACTTCCTGGGAATATGCGACTTTGGGGATTCCTCAATAGTTTTATGCTTTATGTTTGCCTCGGACAGGCTGGTGGGATCATCCTGCCGTAATGATGCATGTGGTTTCTGAAGCTAGTAAGGTTGTATGTGGATGAGTAAGGCACATACCACGCCTTTAATTGCTGATAGGCTGAGTTGAACTCCCTGGAGAGGGTAGGAACTGTCTCGTTCCCCCACCCTCAGAACTTTTGCTTTACAAAAGGGTGCTGCTTTCCATGAGAGTCTCTGATTCACTCACTTTGACTTAAGTACTGGTGTCCAGTAAGGTAGTGGACTCATTCCTAAGCCCATCTGAGCTTGGTGTCCAAGACTAGGATTTTTGTTTATTTATCCTCTCTAGACAGTACACCTTTCATCTTCTATGGTAGTCCAGAGAACATGGGGCTGAGTGGATGGGAATCTGGGGGTTTAGGTGCTCTCTGAAGAGATTTGCGAACATTTCTATTGTTGTCAACCCCATTCTTCACATCTCTTCTGCAAGGTAACTGCACATTGATAATTTCTGAGCCTTTAAGGGATTCTCCTAAGAGAATCTGCTTATTTCTTATTGGTTCTTTCCTCTCACAGAATTCTTACAGGGCATAGAAAGCTAAAATTTGACAGTTATCTGTCTCTTTCTTTCAGAGTGTTTTGATAGTTCTATTTGCTGTTATGTTATTTCCCATCCCTTTTATCCTGTGAGTTTATAATATATTTTTTTTTTGGTAGTAGGAATTTGAACCCAAGGGTGCTCTACCACTGAGCTAGATTCCCCAGCCCAGCTCTTTTTATTTTTTATTTTGAGATTGGGTCTTGCTAAAATTGTTGAGACTGGCCTCAAACTTGCTATCCTCCGTCTTAGCCTCCCAAGTAGCTGACATTACAGGGTCTGTCTGACATTACAGACACTCTGTCTGTCTCTGAGTTTATAATTTCTATTTATTTATTTTGGATTGCTGGGGAAAGAACCAAGGTCCTCACACATGCTAAGCAAGTGTTCTATTGCTGAGCTATCCCCCGCCCCAGTTTATAGCTTTGTTTTGTTTTGGTACTGGTGATTGAACTCGGGGGCACTGGACCACTGAACCACCTCCCCAACCCTATTTTGTATTTTATTTAGACACAGGGTTTCACTGAGTTGTGTAATACTTCGCTTTTGCTGAGGCTGGCTTGAACTCATGATCCTCTTGTCTCAGACTCCTGAGCCACTGAAATTACATTCATGTGACAGACCCCAATTTCTAACTTTTAAATATCACTTTGTTATACTTTTAGTGAGACTTCACAAAAAAACAGGTAAATGTACTTGTAAAGTCTCAACCTGAATCATTGATTCAGTCATTTGAATGTCATGAATACTATGGCCCTGTACTTTTCTTGCTGCTTCTTGTTACAAAATACAAAACTGGCAGATGTTCTTGCCCTCCTGTGGTTTAAATGTTTGTTGTGAAGATTGACACTATTCAAGACAAGTATTGAGATGTAGTATATTAGATAATGGTTAATGTTAGAAAAATAAAAAGGACATGGATTAGGAAATACTATGTGGAGAGTTGTAATCTTTTTAGGTATATGGTTATGGAAAGTTTGTTCAGAAGGACTATTTGAGTAAAGACCTTAAGAATCAAGGGAGCCAATCCCAAGAATTTTTTTTTTTTTTTTTTTTTGGTACCTTGGAGCGAACCCAGGGGTGCTTAACCATGAGCCACATGCCCAGCCCTTTTTTATATGTTATTTTGAGACAGGGTCTCATGAGTATGGCTTTTAACTCATGATCTTCCCGTGTCAGCCTCACAAGTTGCTGGGATTACACATGTGTGCCACTGTACTTGGAACCCAAGGACAAGGTTCAAGATATACATATATATGTGTATATATATGGGCAAGAACACTGCAGGCAGAAGGAGGAACCAGAATAAAGGCCCTGAGGGAGCTTTGTGCCCAGTGTGTTTGAGGCATAGTGTGAGAGGGACCAATGTGTCTGGATCACAATATAGGGACTAGTTTTAATACTAAGTGAGGTTGACAGAGTTGTGAGCAGAGTCATGCTATGTTCTAACATTATGTATAGCAGAGCTGCTGTGACTGCTTTCTTGAGAATAGTCCATGAGGAGGCAAGGGCCGAGGTGGGGAGACCAGTTAGAAGGCTGTTGCAGTATTCTAGCCTATGTGGAAGTACTCAGTGGTTGGATTCTGGTTTGACTGATGAATTGGGATATGAGAGAGGGGAATCACCAAGATTATTTTAAGGTTCATAGCTTCTGTGGTCTTTTAAAACTATAGAACTTTGGTTTTAATATTAGTAGTATCCAGTCTGTTAAATGAATACTTTTCTAAAGAATAACATAATTATTTTAAGTTATTTTGCTTTACAAACCAAAGCTCTTTTTTTTTTTTAAAGCTCTTCACAGAATACGGTCGTCTGGCAATGGATGAAATTTCCCAAAAACCCTTCCAGGTAAATTATTAACTATGAATGTAATATATATCTTTGTTTTTAGTTAAAATAAATCAGCAAATGATAGCTCACAGGCTAAATGTGGCCTGTTGCCTGTTTTTATATGACCTGTGATCCATACACACACACACACACACACACACACACTTTAATTTTTTGCAGTGCTGGGGATTGAACACACAGCCTTATGCGTGGTAGGCCAATGTTCTACCACAGAGCTACATCCCCAGCCCTGGTTTTATTTTTTTATTTTTGGTACTAGGGATTGAACTCTCAGGGGTACTTGACCACTGAGCAGCATCTCCAGCCCTATTTTGTATTTTATTTACAGACAGGGTCTCATTGAGTTGTTTAGTGCTTCATTTTTGCTGAGGCTGGCTTTGAACTTGTGATTCTCCTGCCTTAGCTTCCCAAGCTGCTGGGATTACAGGCATGTGCCATTACACCCGGCTCCCAGCCCTTGTTTTTATATGTTTTAATGGTTGGGGGAAAAAAATGAAAATAGGAATAATATTTAAGACATGTAAATTATCTGAAGTTCAGACATCAGCAATAGCTGAAGTGTTAGTGGGACATAGCACATGTTTATGTGTCAGCTATGGCTGCTTTCCTGTTACAGTAGCAGAGTTGAGGAGCTATTTAAAATATTTACTCTCTTGCCTTTTATAGAAATCATTTGCTGACTTCTGCATTAGCTAATTGTTTCTTGAGAAAGCACAGTAACCTCAGTAAGACTAGAGGTGCCTTAATATGTGAACATTATTTCTTTTCCTTCCTTCTTTGTTTTGGTACTGGGGATTAAACTCAGGGATGCTTTACTGCTTTACCATTGAGCCTACATTCCAAGTCCTTTTTATTTTTTCTTTTGAGACAGGGTCTTGCTTAGTTGCTGAGGCTTGCCTCAAACTTGTGATTCTCCTGTCTCAGTTTCCTGAGTAACTGGGATTACAGATATGTGCCAGTGTACCTTATTTTTTTTGGTTGAGTGTCTTGCTAATGTTGCCCATGCTGGTGATAAAACTTATGGGCTCAAGAGATCATCCTGCCTCAGTCTCAGGAGTGCTGAGACTACAGATGTGTTCCAAGCCTGGCTGTTTCTTTTCCTTTTCTAATGTGAGTAACAGATCTGATCTTATGATTAGCTGGTGCTATGTCATTTTTTTTTTCCTTCTTTCTTTACTACATGCCTCCTACTTGCCTTTAGGGCAAAGATTTGAATTTAATATTTCCTTTTTTTTTTTTCCTGTGCTGGGAATTAAACCCAGGTCCTCACACATGCTAGTCAAATGCTTTATCACTCAGCCCTACCTTCAGCCCAAATTTAATGTTTTCTTGGCAGTCTTTTTTATTTCTGTTAATCTGTAGGAATGAAAATAACAGATGGGATACATTGACCTCACATTTGGCTTAAACGTGTCGTTTATAGAACAGAAAAATCGTTCAGCACATATCCTTGCCTCCTTTGTAGAAATCAGCATTAAGCAAAGAACTACTGCCATTATTATCTTGAAAATGCATTTATGCCATGTTATATGTTCTCTTTTTTCTAAATAGACACTGATGTTTTTGGTTCGAGACTGGAGTTTCCCCTATGAATACAGCTATGGACTGCAAGGAGGAATGGCATTTTTGGATAAGCGTTTACAGGTAATTGGAAAGAAAATCTCCTGGGGAATTTTCTAAAAGTATTGACAGCTTTCTTATTTGCCTTTGGCTGTTGTATTTAAAACAGATAATTGAAAATTATACTAAATGTATTAAATATATGTATGAATCTTAGCACAAACTAACATAGTTTATTCATGATATAAAAGAACCTCGGTGGGGGCCAGGGATATAGCTCAGTTGGTAGAGTACTTGCCGTATATGCACAAGGCCCTGGGTTCAATCCCCAGCACCACCAAAAAAAATCAAAAGAACCTGGGTATGAAATGCACCGAGATATGTAGAGAAGAACTTTGAGCAAAAACCCAAGTGTGTTTATAATCTCCATTTCATATTTTAAACCAGGTTCTATATGTGTCTTTATATTCAGAATTTTAGTTCTGTTATTTTATTCAAAATTCATATTTGTTTTGACATAGATATAAACAGACCTAGCCTGTTCCCCCAAAACCAAAGCACAGGGGTCTTTAATCACTATTAACTGGTTAGACCCTCCTTTCATCCTATAGAATCTCTGTTCTTAAGCACTGTGCAGTACTCTTTTTAAATTATTTATTTATTTATTAAATGGGTGCTGAGGTTTGAACCCAATGCCTCACAAATGTTAAGCAAGCACTCTTCCACTGAGCCACAACCCCAGGCCTGTGTACTCATTTTTTTCTTTAGTACCTCTTCTTAGTTAGCTATGGGAGAATCAAGCATGGTTAATCACATTCATGCATTTACTGCTTCTTGGGGTTCTCAAGTTTTTTTTATTGGTGTATGTAATCCATCACAACTGAATTACTTAACATGCCTAATTTTTACCAATTTCTTCATCTATAAGTAAGGGAAATCTTTCCTTTGTCTCCATTCTAATGGTTCCTAGTGAAGAAAACCAAATAGTCTTTGGTTGATAAATAGTTGTTCTTCATTGGCAGGTGAAGGAACATCAACATGAAGAAATTCAGAATGTTCGAAATCACATCCACTCATGTTTCTCCGATGTTACCTGTTTTCTCTTACCACATCCAGGACTCCAGGTGGCCACAAGTCCTGATTTTGATGGGAAATTACAAGGTGTGTTACAGATGTTGTTACTCTAAACATGTGACTTGATCTTTGGAATTAAGTAATGACCAATAAATGTCAATTAAAAATCAAGTGAATAGTTGGCCAGGTGTGGTGGCTCAAGCCTGTAATCCCAATGGCTTGGGAGGGTGAGGCAGGAGGATTGCAAGTTCAAAGCCAGCCTCAGCAATTTAGCAAGGTCCTAAGAAATTTAGTGAGACCCTCTCTCAGAATATAAAAAGTACTAGGGATGTGGCTCAGTGGTTAAATGCCTCCGAGTTCAATCCCTGATACCAAAAGCGATCAAGTAGTGAATGCTTAAGAGAAATAGAATAGTCTATAAGAAAAAACAGTATTTAGAGTCGAGTTCACATTTTGCTCTTGACTTAATGTGACCATCAGAATTAGTTTACCGAGGCTGGGGTTGTGGCTTAGCGGTAGAGTGCCCGCCTAGCACCTTCAAGGCCCTGGGTTCAATCCTCAGCACCACATATAAATAAATAAAGGTATTATGTCCAACTACAACTAAAAAAAAAGAATTAGTTTACCCTAATTTCTTCATCTGAAATTGTGATGGTTATATCCATCAATGATCTTTCTAAGAAATGTTATAATTATTGATTTACAAGAGATGGAAGTGAGGGGCTGGGGCTATAGTTCAGTGGCAGAGTGCTTGCCTAGCAGCACTGGGTTTGATCCTTAACACCACTTAAAAATTAACAAATAAAATAAAGAAATGCTCTTAATCTGCTATTACAAAAAATAATGAAAAAAAAATAGATATGGAAGTGCTAAATAAAGGAAGGCTATTTATCAAGTGAAGTTATCTTCCCAAATAAAGGTACCATGATGCGTGTTGTTTTCATGTTGTGATTATAACAAAACCCGCCAGGTCAAGTTTTAATATCAGGAAGTGGATGGCAGGTTAGAGGAATTAAGAATTGGGACTCTTAGGTTCCATTATCTTATTTTTGTTCCTTATTCATCAAGGCATTTTGTTCCTCATTCATTAAGTCATTTAGTGGCTGGCCCACAGTTTACATGTGCTAAGCTGAGTAGTTTGTTTATAAGCTGCTCAGTTCCTGGTAAAGTGTTGATAATAATAGCTACTAGTTTTGGAGACCTAGCTGAGTTGCCATTGCTATGCAAGGTGCTTTCATACTGAGGCTCCCAATAATTTAATGAAGTTGATGTCATTTCCCTTAACTTACAAATGAAGAAATTGGTAAAAATTAGGCATGTTAAGTAATTCAAAGTGCTCAGTGAAAATGTAGGGCAGATTCACATTCCAGATTCTGATGTCCCAAAGCTGTACTGTTCAAAAATAGAAATTCTTTGTTGTTTATGGGAAGTCTTTCAGAGGATATGTACTATTTAGTTACCAGAGGAACTTGCCTTTCAAAGTAGAAGGTTTTCATAGTTTCATATTAAATATAAAATGCATCATTTTTCACTTTATTTGATTTAGTGGATCGAAGAAAATGAATGTACTTAACCAATTCAAGACTTACAGTCTAGCTGATCTTAGTATGGCAAAAGGAACCCACTTTTAGAGATTAATCTTTGACCTTGTATTTGTTACTTACATGATAATTTTAAGTTGTTGGCAGCATTCTTGAAGAGGAAACTTGCAGACTGTTATATTGTGATTGAAAAATCCACGATTAAGATCTGGCTTTGGGATTGGGATTGTGGTTCAGTGGTAGAGCTCTCGCCTCACAACTGCGAAACCCTGGGTTAGATCCTTAGCACCACAGAAAATAAATAAATAAGTGAAAAAAAGGTGGTTGTGTCCAATTACAACTAAAAAATAAATATTAAAAAAAAAAGATCTGGCTTTGGGAGAGAAATCTTCTTAGGCAAACATGAGTTAGAAATCTCTTACCTAATAAAAGCAGTTGTGAGGGAATTTTCAGAGGTAGGGAGAAAAAGTTGAGTGTGAATTTGCATGTATCTGTGTGTAGGTTATATATATGTATGTGTGTGTGTATTTTTGTTTTGGTATTGGGGGATTAAAACCAGGAGCACTTTACCACTGAGCTTCATCTTAGCCCTTTTTTAATTTAAAAATTTTTGGGGGGAGTACTTGGGATTGAACTCAAGGACACTGAACCACTGAGCCACATACCCAACTCTATTTTGTATTTTACTTAGAGACAGGGTTTCCGTTGCTTAGTTTTTTGCTGAGGCTGGCTTGGAACTCCCAATTCTTCTGCCTCAGCCTCCCAAGCTGCTGGGATTCCTGGTGTGCACCACCGTGCCCAGCTAGGTCTTTCTTTATTACATGAGAGAGTAAGTTCAGGAATAAATATAGGGGGACTGGGATTGTGGCTCAGTGGTAGAGTGCTTGCCTAGCACATGTGAGGCACTAGGTTCGATCCTCAACACCACATGTAAGTAAATAAAGGTATTGTGTTCATTTACAACTTTAGATAAATAAATGAATAAATATAGGGCTGGAGGTATAGAGCTCAGTGATAGAATGTTTGCCTAGCGTGAGGCCTTGGGTTTGATCCCCAGCACTGCAAAAAGCAAAACAAAAAATGGTCAGAATATATTAATGAAAACATGGGCAGCATCACAACAATCAAAGCACAAATGTGTTGGTATGAGCTATAAACTTAGTAGTACTGGGGCAGTATCAAAATTTAAAATGTCTATGTTCTTTGATATCCAGTATTCTCCTTTTAGGAATTTATGCAAGGAGTTTTCCAAATCAGTGGACAAAATGTATGTTCAAGGCTAAAACTTCACTAGCATTATAATTATGGAGAGTAGTTGGAAACAACCCAAATGTATGTTTATCAGGAATTGGTTAAATTAAAGTACCTCGGTACAGAGGAATAAAATGTGGTCCTTAAAAAGGATAAGATATTGGGCTGGGGTTGTGGCTCAGTGGTTGAGTGCTCAGCAGTTGAGTGAATCCTGGGTTCCATCCTTAGTGCTACATAAAAATAAATAAGTGAAATAAAAGTTTTGTGTCCAACTACAACCAAAAAAAAAAAAAAAAAGGATAGGGTATATAGGTGGATCTATATGTATTTACAAAGAAAGATTTTCATGATAAATTATTAAATGTAAAAAGATTGCTCAATACCATATGTAGTATGATCCTGTTTGTTTTAATATACATATGTTTTTTAAGTACTTTTTCAATAGAAAGATTTGAAAAATGATTTCCTTTTTTTGCTTCATTTAAAAAATGTCATTCGTTAAATAGTCCTCTGTGTCTATGAGGATTGCTTGTGAAGAATTCTTTTAGGGCTGGGCGTGGTGGCGCACGTCTGTAATCCGGGGCTGTGGTAGGAGGATCAAGAGTTCAAAGCCAGCCTCAACAAAGTCCAGGCACTAAGCAACTCTGTGAGACCCTGTCTCTAAATAAAATACAAAATAGGGCTGGGAATTTGTCTCAGTGGTCAAGCCCTTGAGTTCAATCCCAGTACCTAAAAAAAAAAAAAAAAAAAACGGAATTGTTTTAGTTCTGCGAAAGTTTATGTATAGCCATGTGCCACATAATGACATTTCAGTCAGTGATAGACTGTATACCCAGTTGTCCCAAAATATACATGGTCCCATATATATATTTTTACATAGCCTACATATGTAGTAGGCTATCCCATGCAGACTTGTATAAGAACGATCCATGAGCTCACAAGAGGAAATTGCTTAATGAAACAGTTCTCAGGGGCTGGGATTGTGACTCAGTGGTAGAGCATTTGCCTAGCACATGTGAAGCACTGGGTTTGATCCTCAGCACCAAGTAAAAATAAATAAATAAAATAAAGGTATTGTGTCCACCTTCAACTTAAAAAAAAAACCAGTTTTCAGATTGTCTCTCTGCTGTTAAGTGATGCGTGACTGTACTTTTTAGAATTGGAGATGGATATTTTGTAATTTTAGGAAACCTTTTAACCACATTGAAGCATTTTGAGTGAAGAGTAGATGCTAAATTGCAAACAACAGGTGACTTTTTTGAGTGTTTGGCTGGTGCTGGCCTAAGACCCACAGCCTTTTTTACAAGACACCTGTAAGTAGAGCTGATATATTTCTCAGAGTTAAAAAACCTGGATGTTGGGTTTGGGGATATAGCTTAGTTGGTTGGGTGCTTGCCTCTCATGCACAAGACCCTGGATTCAAATCCCCAGCACCAAAACTAAACAAAACCAAAAAAACCCTGGTTGTTGTATTATCTGAAGTTTACTTGTGTAATTACTTGATTTAGTGTTCATAGTCTTATTCCATATAAGTTGGAAAAGCCAACCTTAGAATGGTTAGGGGTAATTCTTTGGAGAACCTTAATGTAGTTTCTATAGAAAATTTAAATTTCGTAAGAAGCCATTTCTAGATGGTTCCTCAAATCTTTTAGGAATTGTTTTAGTGGTTTTATTTTACTATACCTTTAAAGATTTGACTACTTACTCAAATAGCTACCAAATACCATCTTCATTTGTGGTGTAATAGAAACTGAGCTGCTGCTGCCTGCTTGTATTAATTAGCTAGGAGATTTAGCTGCTTTTTAAGACCCCATTTTATCAGACACAATTTGACTTTGTCATTAGTATAAAGAAAAATGTCTTTTCCTAACTACTGGAGTAGGGAGATGAATATAGTTACTGTTTAGTTAGAAATTAAACAGAAAGGTTTGTAGAGCACAATCTTTGACATCATGAGGGACTGAGCTTATCTCTGTTGGTATATAGTTTTTGTCTATTCTGATTTGAAATAATGTTAAACATGAATGGCTTAGGATCTGTAAATGTTGGTAAGATGCTATCTGTAGTACCTGTATCCTGCCAGTTCCCTGCATGAAATATTTTTTGGAACAGTCTTTCAATATGATAAAAATTGAAACCATAAAACAATTTAAATAGATAATACATTCCTATGTTTAAAATTCCAAAAAGAGTTAAGCTTTTGGTGAAAAGTCTCTCATTTTTTATAAGCTTCCAGAGTTTCTTTAGTATATGCAAGCAAATATGAATTTACATAGGATTTATATTTTATTTTTTGCTTTACTGGGAATTGAACCCATGGCTTTGTGCATACTAGCCAAATGCTCTAACACTGAGCTATATCCCCAGCCTTTTAAAAAATTTTACTTTGAGACAGGGTCTCACTAATTTGCCCAGATTGACCTTGAACTTGAGATCCTCCTGCCTTAACCTCTCTAGTTGCTGGAATTACAGATGTGTACCATTATTATGAATGGCAGATACTTTTTTAGTGCAAGTTTATAAGAAATTTATCTCACTTTTCTTGAAATTTTGTGCTTTAAATTTTAATATTATAATTAGGTTTGTGGGGTGTTAAAGAATTCTTACCTTGTTATGAATTCCAGCCTACTTTATTTTCAGCTGGAAGTTGGAAACTCAGAAAGATGTTAGAAGATTATACAAATAAGATTTGTCTTTTAATTTTGCTTCTTTATTGTTGGACAGGCTAATTCTCACTTTAAGAAACTAGCTCTTGTTTGAGCACCTTCCTGAATCCTCTGTGGGAACTTTGTAGAACCTGTAAAGCCTCTGTCTCCTTTCCTGACACAATGGTTTTTTTCATCTTGAGGTAGCCCAGAGAGTTATCTGAGGAGATAATAGGAAATAACAGCATGAGGCATAGGGGCTTCTACCTCTTCTACCTCTTAAATGTTAACAAAAATAAAGCATATTAATGAACAGTGATTTCTGGTTGATATCAAGGGCTAGTGAGAGGGTGCAGCAAAAGCCTGAGACAACTTAAAAGGTTGTTTATGTGGGCTAGTTTTTTTTTTGTGTGTGGGGGGGTGCTGGTGATTGAACCCAGGGCACTTTACCACTGAACCACATCCACAGCCCCCCTCCCCCCCCCTTTTTTTTTTAATTTTGAGACTGGGTCTCACCAAGAAATTGAGCCTGACCTTGAACTTGCTATCCTCCTACCTCAACCTCCTGAGTCACTGAGGTTACAGGTGTGCGCCACTTTGCCTGGCTGTTTATTAGTTTCTGAGATCTTATTAGTAACATTGTTTTAAAAATTGAAATTTCTTGAACAGTTAGGGAATAAACTGAATATCCCAGAATGGAAACCAGGATAAGAATATTTTATATATTCTTTTCTGAACTAGAGTGGACTTCACATGCCAGAAGGGAAGGAGACAAATAGAGGTGCATTTGAACAGAGATCTGTCAGCATCCTGGTACTATCCAGGAAGTATCAAACATACATATAATCTGGGATTCCTCTCACTACTTTTCAGCAAGCAAATGTTAAAATAATTGGATACCCTATGAAGTTTGTGTTTATGCTCACTTTGGTTGAATAAGGCTGTTTGGATTCTTGTCTCCTTTTTCATGGTTCTGTGAACAGATATTGCTGGTGAATTCAAAGAGCAGTTGCAGGCACTGATACCATATGTATTAAATCCATCTAAGTTAATGGAAAAGGAGATCAATGGCTCAAAAGTTACCTGCCGCGGACTGTTGGAATATTTTAAGGTAAATATGGGTTTTATATTTAAACTGTTTGATTTTTGATAAAACTAATCTAGGTTGTAAACCATCCTGAATTTTAATATTCTGAAACTTCAAAATTTCCTGGAGGAGATGGTGAAATGCATTTTGAGACCTCAGTGCCCTTCCCAGAATGGGCCGCTGGGTGGCAGTATGGGTCTAGGAACCAAATGATGTTCTTTGCACTCTCTTTGAGGAGTGTTTACAGTTGCATAAGGAAGATGGTTCTTCAAGGAAGATGGTGTGGACAGGAGATGGGTAGGAAGTTGTGACCCGACTACCTCCAGGCGGATGGTCTCTCTGCCCAGGTTGTGGTGAGACCAGTGTGCATGGGGAGTCTGATGGGAAAGGGTTGCTAGGCTTTTGCTGCTTGAGAACATTTTTAGATAAAAATGCTAACATGCACTCAAAGGTGTGTTGTGTTTTTGCTAATTCCTGGTTGTTGTTGTAGGTTTTTAGGAAATTGCAGTTGTATGGTCCCCATTTCAAAAAATTAGAGCATGATTAAACTATGATAGAATGACTTTTCTCATAATAATTTTTATGTTTATATTCTAAGGCATATATTAAAATTTATCAAGGAGAAGATCTGCCTCACCCCAAATCCATGCTTCAGGTAATCAGTCCTTTGATATCTTAAATGGTATCCTTTAATTGCTCAAGTTGTTGCAGTTACAGTAAAACAGAATCCTGTAAGAAGAGAATGAAACAACTCGCCTTTCCCATAATGCTAGATATGTTGATGTTTAGCACACCTTGCTGCACTGTGGGTGCCTTTTGGTTTTCTTGTCTTCATTCACAGTGGTACAGTTAAAACAGGTTGGCCTCTCTTTCCTGTTCTTCCTCTCACATAAACTTTGGGAAACATTGCTTCATTATGCCTAGGCGAAGCATACCCACTGTATTAGACAAGTGACTTCTAGTCATCTGGGGTTTACTTCAGTAGGACATGTCTTGATCTTAACTTGTCTACTTACGATGCACACTGTTCAGGTTTTTTATTTTCAAGTAGAAAAAAGTCATTTGTTTGAAACACTTTCTGACTTCATTTGCTGAACATAAAGGCATTAATTGCCAAATACTGATTTCTTTAGTAGCAAAACATTTTCACAAAGGTAGGTAGAGCCTGTGATTGACATCATAAAGATATGTGTGTGTGTGTGTGTGTGTGTGTGTTTATTTGCATCTATTTCTTTTTTTTTTTTTTTTTTGTGGTGCTGGGGATTGAACCCAGGGCATTATCCAAGCTAGACAAATTCTCAATTCTGTATCACTAAGCTATATTCATAGCTCAAGCCTTTCTTTTTTTGGTACCAAGGGTACTTAGCCACTGAGCCACATCTTCAGCTGTTTTTTTACATTTTATTTAGAGACAAGTTCTCACTGAGTTGCTTAGAGCCTTGCTAAGTTGCTGAGGCTGGCTTTGAACTTGCAATCCTGCCTCAGCCTCCTGAGCTGCTAGGATTATAGCTTTCATCTATTTTTTTACATTTAAAATGAAGCAAAGGAAATGATGTTTTCCTTGACTTATGGAGTTTTAATTCATGCTAAAGATTTTAGATCAAAGAAACATGTTTTGGTAGAAAGTTTGGTAGAAAGGTGTAATTTATTCATTAATTGATGATATATGAAGACCTGAAAAATAGCAGAAGGTCATTAAAAAAAAACGAATGGGGAAGAAGGTAAGGGATGGTTTTTACTTGGTAAAAAGAAGGTAAGGATGGTCTTTACTTGGTAAAATGGAAGAATTTGTAATTCATGCTTTCATTTCTTAAAAGGCCACTGCTGAAGCCAACAATTTAGCAGCTGCAGCCTCTGCCAAGGACATTTATTATAATAGCATGGAGAAGGTATGTGCTGCATATTCCTTTTTCTGAAATATGTGTACCCTATGCATTGTTGCTTAATTGAAAAGTCCAAACTCAATCCTGCTTAGTGCATCTTCTGATGAGGCAGCAGAGCTGTTTTCAGGTCCGCCTGGTGATCGGGGCCTTCTGATTACTAACATTTCTAACCAAGGTTTTATTACAGTGCAGCTGCTCTTTCCGATTACTAGTACTCTGGTGGTTTAAGTGACTTTATTAGCCTTGATCATCTCTCTAACATTAAGTTCTAATATTTTAAAACATCTTCTATGTCTTTTCACTTGTTTTATTCAGCACTTGTTTTTGAAGGGATTTTCAGTATACCATTTTTATTCTTTTTAGGTTTGTGGGGGAGAGAAACCTTATATGTCTCCTGACATTTTAGAGGAGAAGCACTGTGAATTCAGACAACTGGCTCTGGACCAATTTAAGAAGACCAAGAAGATGGGTGGGAAGGATTTTAGCTTTCGCTACCAGCAGGAGCTGGAGGCAGAAATCAAGGAACTCTATGAAAACTTCTGCAGGCACAATGGTAGCAAGAATGTCTTTAGTACTCTCCGAACCCCTGCAGTGCTGTTCACAGTCATTGTTATTTTGTACATAGCCTCAGGCCTCACCGGCTTCATTGGTCTTGAGATTGTGGCCCAACTGTTCAACTGTATGGTTGGACTGCTGTTAATAGCGCTCCTTACTTGGGGGTACATCAGGTATTCCGGTCAATATCGAGAGCTGGGCGGAGCTATTGACTTTTGTGCAGCATATGTGTTAGAGCAGGTAAGTATTTTTGCTGGCTGAGAGTTGATAATGGACAGATATTTGTGTTTCTATTATATCTCAGTTTGGGAGAATTTCATAGTGAAACGAAGCATGAGAAACTTACCTTGTTCATTTTTTAATGATGGATTTTATATATTATTTTTCTTTAGAATATTAATATTCCTAATATTTTGTTTCCTTGCCTAAAATTAGTCTTTAATGCAAAAAGTTTTGAACTTGGATGTATTTGTTCCTCGTGGGACACTTTTAAAATTACATGCTCTTTAAGCACAATTCCAGTGTAATTCTCTTCTATGCCCACTCCCCTGATTAATTTGTTTCATGAAAAATCAAGAGCTTTGAAAAAAATAAGAACTCAACAAAATGTTCTGTTTTGAATCCTATTGGGTTAGAAAATGGCCTCTCCTTCATTTAAAAATCTTGCAAAAAGCCAGTGACTTGGGCTGGAGCTGAACCTCATTGGTAGAGTGCCCACCTCGCATATGTGAGGCACTGGGTTCAATCCTCAGCACCACATAAAGATATTGTGTCCAACTGCAACCAAAAAAAAAAAAAAAA